CCTCGCTCCCGCCTCTGTCCCCGGACAGCTCCCGCCGGCCCTGCGGGTCAACCTGGGGGGGGGCCTGGGGCGCCCCCCCTGCCCGACTCTGCTGCAGCCCCAGGCAGCGCCCCGGTCGGGTCTCGGCCCTGCCCTGGCCGTCGCCCGGGCAGTGGGAGCAGGAAGTGGCCCCTGCAAGCCGGCTCTGGACAGCCCTCCCTGCCTGGGCTTCTTGGAGGCCCCTGCTGACCGGCCCTCCGGCCCCTGACAGCACGATGAAGAGCGGACACTGGCCCCGACCCCGGCCACCCAGTGCCGACAGCCCCAAGCGGGGCCAGGCGGGGCTGGGGAAACGGGGACCCGTCACCTCGCTCAGTGACCAGGCCGGGTGCGCCCTCCCCGGCCGAGGGGGCCTGGCCTTCCTCCTGCCCCCCGGCCTGGGTCCCGGGCAGAGCCCTACCCGCGCTCTCAGAGGGCCAGCTGGCCCCGGCGGCCTGTCGCGAATGTCCATAAGCGGGCAGCTACTCTGCCAGGGCCGTGAGGCCATCTGAGCTGCCCCCGCCGCCACGGCCTCTGCTGCCCACCCGCAGCCCCGCTGCAGGTAGTGGCCAGTGAGCGTAGGCCCCTGGAGGTACCCACAGGGCCCTGGCCGGTGGGGACAGACAGAGGCACCTGCCGGTGGGGACAGACAGAGCCCCAGCATGCACTGGCCTTCTGGGCATGCCTGGACACTCCAGGAGCCTAGGGCATGTGCAGGTCCCTCTGGGAGTGGCCAGTAGGGGTAGGAGTCAAGTTTGAGGGCGAGTAGCAGGGACAAGCACTGGCATCTTCGCTCAGATGGGGCTGCGGGGCGGCAGCGAGGCTGGGCCACTCTCTGGTCAATAGCTGGTGACCACCTGTCCTGGGTGGCCAGACAACAGCGGCCCGTGGTAGGAGGGGGCGGCCCTGAACGGCCTGGGGTGACCCGCTGGGAGCCTGGGCCCAGCCCGCTGGCCCCCTGGGCTGGGGCCAGGAGCATCTCGGGAAGGGGCAGGCCCGGACCCTCCCCTGGGGCGCCGGGCGAGGACGTGGCCTCTCGGCAGCTCTGCTGTCCAGGCGGG